TAGCCTGTTACTCCCCTCTAATGTGCCCACATCCCCCCACATCTTTTAACTGACTGAAAATGAAATATCTGAGGTCAATTAAAAAATGTATCTTGATTCAGGTTGAAGTGGCCCAAAATAAAATATTTAATTGGATCAAGAAATCTGGACAGATATTTTGATATTGTAGAAACTGTATGTGCCATTAGAAAATCATTCCAAAAGGAACGTCTTCTTTAGCTGTATCATAAAGTCATGACACCCCAAGGCAAACAGCACAGTATTGATCCAGGTCTTAGGTCCAAGGGGAAAATCTGCATTGGTAAATTAGGCACCTAACTTAGGTGGAATTTAAACCCCTACATTGCAAAAAGTGATCCAAAATACTCCTGCTGCAGCAAGCACAAAACTAATCAGTTGCCTATATTCCAGACTGCAAAGTTTCCTAGGCATGTAAACTTTGGGCTAGGGACAGACATTACATATAAACCAGTTTAAATGATCAGAAACCGTTTAAACCTGTAACAGAACAGATGTTCAGTGCAGATAAACCAGTTTGAGAATGGCTGAAACCAGTTTGAGATAAACCTGGTTGGATGTAGTATCAGACTTAACTGATTTGGCTCAAACCAGTTTATACAATGTCTGTCCCAGACCCCTTGCTGGTTTAAAGTAACCCAGATACCCCCAGCATCCCAGAATGCTCTCTGGGTTGGGCAGGGCTCTCTGCTCCACATCAGGGTTGGTCCCTCCCCTCTGCTCCCTGGCTGGAGCTCCAGAGACTGCGGGCTGCTTCCCCCCTCCCCTCACCACTCCCTGCTAAGCAGGAATTCCCCCCTCCCCTCTGCCTTGTTGAGGAGGTATCTGTGTATTAGCTAGCAGACCACATGCTGGCTACAGTCTGTGCTGAATCAACAGGTAGAATCAACAAGTAGCTGGTAATGTTCCTCTGTTGTTTTCTTAATTGGATGATAAATACTGTTATGAATTCCCTGCTGGGCTAATCAGAGCTCCTGCCAGAGC